CTTCGTTGTATTTTCATCGCTCAGCCAACCAACGTATTTTGGTAAACCACGCCCGTTTAAAACGTACTTAATTGAGGAAACGAGTAGGCTGGGCCATTGAACGTCTCACCAGGGAGTAGTGTCCGGATTCAGCTGATGAGGGAACCCCCACCCCCTCTCTTTTTGAGTAATGACATGTAGAATTCAGAATAAGTCCTGTTTGTAGGAGCGTGGGAAAGAGTTTGCAATTGGAGGAGGGAGAGGGGAATCAGTCAAATAAAATCACTAACAATGTACGTTAGCGTGCCAGAAGCTGGATATCTATATGCGCGCCATCAATTTCTTTAAAAAATGAGAAACATCGCCAATGCATACAGAAAGTAACGGAACCAAATACCGCTGAGAATCTTATCTACAGCCCACAACACCAAACAGCAGGCAGCCCAACAAGTGTTTTCCACGATTATCGTGCAGTTACTGCCAAATGACCAGCTATTTCCGATGCCACGATCAAAGTTTTAAATTCTCCAATGCACCTGTTGCCAAGGGCGTGCTGACGCCGCAAAGTTTGCGGGCTCAAAGAAAACGTTCTCCATGTCCATGCACAGTGGTTTAACTGCGCGGCACTGTATCGCATGACGTCACTCGTCGGCTGAGGCGGGCGAAATCGGCTCCGGCAGCCCGCTATCGGGCAATATTTGAACCATTAGGTGAAGGGTTGCAAGAAGTGGGACAGTATCCCAAACCGTGGATCCCACGCACGCTGGACTTTGTGAACACTGGATTTAATGAACGCTGAACCTTAAAAAGACTGGACTGTATGAACACTGGACTTTATTATTCTCCTCTGTCCAGGGGTTTTCGACGTTTTCTGGGCCTTATGAACGCTAGACGCTGCGATTCTGGACTTTTTGACCACTGGACTTTATGAACTCTGGACGTTTCAATACGCATCCTTCGACACATGTCTTGAGACCAGATCTAGTCACTTTCTGTCAGAATTGATCGATTTTTTTTCATAAGTCAAATTACAATGTCACAAGACATGTTATTGCACTGGTTTGCACCATACTGTCGATTATTTGCTTCAAATTTGTTGAAGTGGCCCCTCCCGCCTGCTTTAACTAAATGTCTGTGGGTGCCATGGTTTGCTCACTGGTAAATGATTGCACTGTACATATGCACTACATTTTAACACAGGAATGCTCTGTATACATAGCAGTTACAAAATGAGAAAGATATCAGCATGCAGCAAAAGTCAGACCGTCCGATTGAAAATGTGAAGCCAACACCTCAGACTTTGCCATTAAATTTGTATAAACAAAACCTAAATGGATGGCTTTGCCGCAGCTGGAAAGGCAAACAGCAAAACTGGTGTGACCATCAGTAAGATACGTTATGTTTGGAGAAGATGGATATTTGTGGTGCATACCCACTATTGCCTTTCACGGAGGCCAACCATGGCAATCAGAATTAGTTGTTCCAAGCAATTTGAGGCGTTTTGATCTGTGTGTTGGTGACTTCATCTGGTGTCAACAACCTACATTTACATTTAGTTAGGTTAAGTTGGTTAATTACATCACAAATGGCAGTAAGAGTTTTGTAAGAATCAACGACTCACAAATACTGCTGCGATACAAAGAGGTTAGACAGGATTAGATGAGGTAAGGCAGCTTTGGATTAGGCTTAGGTCACTCTCACGTAAATGAGCATTGTTTTTTTGGAAGAAGCAGTGACATAATATTTGTATTTCCTGATCCCCATCCTAACAGGAGCCAGAGGTATGTCTGTTGTGTTTGACTTGGTGATATATTGATATGCAGGAACCCAAGGCTTTTCTGTTTGAAGGCTTTAATGCTTGATTTTTTTGGGATAACATTTAGGCCTGATTAATTTTTTGTCATTGTTTTGTTGTTGAATTCCCTTGCCTTTTTGTGTCAAAGCATCCTATGGAAGGTCAGTGCAAAGTGCAGCCTGAAAACATTGGCGTCACATAGTTTCTTATGCTTATCACGCTGTTATGAAATTACTATTCGTTGATGCACACTTTTCCACTTAAATCAGCTAATGTGTCAAAACTGAAAACAGTTTTGTCATGCGTATGATAAAATGTCCATGCCAACGTGAAATGCATGTCTTTGTTTGCTGAAGCATCTCTCACTGGCCCATAACTTTCAACATTTGTGACTTGATTTTTCACTCCTGCACGGTCTTTTTGCGATGAAATTTTTCCCTCCCACCCTAGTCCAAAAGCAATTTTAGCTCACTGGGCCCGAGCCCTGCCAGGTTTGATGATTTTTGCCGCTCCCGAACTCCCGATTAAGAGGTCCACCTCCGCTTTAAAGTGAGCTCCAAGGCCGCCACCTACTGGCCAAGCGGCTGGCTCACTTGGCTGACAGGAAGACGTTGTTCGACACCATCATTGTTTGCCGACCATTGGCCGTATTTCGGCCGCATTACAACAGCAGCTAGGGTGCTGCAGCCGTATATTTAAAATTTCTCGGCGGCACTGCAGCCAACACGGGGAACAGTAGCAGGGTCTGGAAACAAAATGAAGCATTCTTTGTTCATAATTAATATTTACCTTAATGTCTGGAAAAACCTCATATCAGTTCTACAACTCTACTGAATGGTGTCAAGCAACTCGCCAGCGGATGCGTGCCTCGTTATTTCGACGGCCGGCGAGCCGTTCGAACGCAAAAAGCTGGTACAGGCGGATTTTTCACACATCATTCGACATTGTTGTCATTCAAGTCGAATCAAGACAACGAATTTCGCTGTTTTGTGTGTTGTTGAACCGAAGTCATACCTTTAAGTGACAACAAATATGCAGCTCGTTCCAATTAACAGAATCGGGCGGACGATTGGCCGGTATAGGTATACTTCACGCTCAGGGTACATCAACTACGCTGGTTATTAGCGCCGTGGCATTCAGAGCGCACCTGGCTTTCAAAAGACTACTGAAAGCTGCGAAGACCACAGCACAGTATAACAGCCGTGGGCCATCCACCGATGTCGTTGCGGGACGGCCGTCCGGTACCGGCAAATTTGGCCCTCGCCCAACGGAGTCATCTTTACGACCTCGCCCGACCATAGAAGGGGGCGGGGTTGGGCGGTCGTGTCGGCCTTAACTTGTGCGCTAAGAAACACATCGGAAAAACAACACTGAGTTGCTCTTTGTCCGAGCCATTTATGTTGTTCAATCTTTGGTCCCGAGGTCAACAGATGACCTATTATGTCACGATAATGAACTTGAATGCATCATATCGGAAATGCAAAGAAGTCCTCCCGCCAACACACTTAAACATAAATATGTTTAATAATTGTGATTATAAATAATTGTGAACTCAAAAACGAAACGTAATTGTGGAACGACCGGCGTGTGCATTGATTTCTTTTGCTCCTGAACATGTCTTTTTTGGTCCGGGCTAACTGAGCGACCTACCAGGTCACAAAAACCCTACCACTATCGAAATATTTAGAGGAAAGTGTGACATACGGCTCCACTAACCCCATATGTTAATTGTTGGCCATTTTGCGCTTATCGCGTCATCTGACTTATCTACTCATGCCGATCTCGAGTAGTCAAACAATCAATTGTAATTTTCACAAACTTTTAGCCCATTCTCATAACTAAAAGTGTGTGAAAGTTTCAGCTACTGGTTTCAATGTCCGGATGCAGTATGAGAGGACGAATCGGGCGACATTTTCCTTTTGGGTCACTGAGCTTTTAATTCACGCTAGGTCGGGGACACGCACGTTCTGCATCGCTATGCTGCGGATATAGTTGTGCTACGGTTACCGGTTATACATTATATGGCTTTGTTGAAACTTTTTCAGCAGTGAATTAAGTTGAATTCCATACATTTGACCTTAGGTGGGTCAAGGTCAAACTTGCATTCGAGCCCAAATGTTTTCTCTACCATTATTAACCAGTTGTGGCCATGTAATAAACGACATAAGGCGCAAAATGATAAACCGCTCCAACTGGCTACTATTTGAAAACATGTGGAACAGTTGTGTGTGTTAAGTGATGTCACAGATCTTGCAACATGTTACAATACCAATCATAATGCGGATGCTGTGCAATGAAGAGCAGAGCTGAACAAGCGCACCCAAACTGCATAAGACATGCATTGCAGCTGTAATCACAGGCGATGGCAGGGCAGCTCGAGGGCTCCATGCGGGCACTAAGTCTTCAACGTCATCAGTTTACTCAGCGTTTCGACAATAATAAAATGTGTCTCCACTCTGCACCCACCATGGCGCAAAACCACGCCCATCGATAGTTACCTTTTCTGCATTTCTCTGACCTCGCATGACCTTGACCCAAGGAATTATCTACAACTTTTGGTGGTCGTCCAAATGGTGCTGATCAGGTGAGTCGCAAGTGTAGGTGGCATAAATCCTGCATAAAGAACCGAGAGAAATGTTTGACCTAGCGTGAGTCCCTCCAGACACAACGCCTGACATTGATGTCAAGACCAGTCATATAAAGAACAAGTTGCATGTCTCAATTACTAACAAATGTCAAGTGCTACCGCTTTGGGAGGAAACCTGACCGACATGACATTCAGGCAAGCGCCGAAAAAAATGGCAGGAGGGGCAGAATGTTATGTCAGCTACTGAAAATACCGGCATTCTCGCACTCATGGTAACAAAGCTGTTCAAGAAAACTCCAAGCCCCCTGTCAGTCTCCTCCTACCTCTTCGTCGGGCAAGGGGTAAGCTGGGCCAAACTGATGCGGCATAGTGTCATATTCGTAGCTTCTCACGGCCCGCGCCTCCAAGCGACCGCACTCAACATTCGGCGGCAATCTGCGCAGCCGCCGACGGTCGCCGCCCATTCTCGACGCCGCCTCATATCTATGCAATGTAGACATTTGTGCCAACAACTATTCGTCCTTAGCGTTTTGACCGACCATCCAGCTGCTCACGGTTGCCAAACCGCCGCTGCCCCGTCCCGATCACATAAGGCACAATTTGTTCACAATTTGCTCGATAAATGTACCTCTAGCACCCCATATCTTGTATTTTGAAACACACGACAATGAGCGACTAAAACCAGGTGAAATTTACACATGGCCATGAAATGCGTTATCATGGGCGCCGTCATTACGCGTGCACAACTAGCTATTGTACATCACTAATGCTAAACACTGCCACTTCATGACGATGCACTAGCACCTACCCCAAAACCTTTTTATGACCGCTTAAACACGCTCCTACGTGATTGGAATGCATGGCAAAAGGCGAGACTTTTGGCCAATGTTGTACTCCGTCAGTGAATGGCATTTGTTTCAGATAAGTCACTAAATATAATGACATGAGTGGCTCCTGCTCATGAAAGACAACAAAACGGTTCAGAAATCGGTTAAGAAACACTGCCTAGCCAGAAATGCACGCCCACCGGCGGTACCTGACAGCAGCATGTTCACCTCCGCCCCCCAGTCCCCGCCGCTACTTCAAGCATACCCTGCAGGTTAGCGGTTTACGCACACTGGACACTGACCACATCAGTCCCATCCATCCTCGTCCGGCAGCGGTACCCACTGGTGCACTCCAGTCTGCCGCTGCGCCTCGGGCCGCCCGTTGCCGCTGCGGGACACATCCGCCGATCGCGGCGGCTCCCGGCCGACTGAACAGTCCTCCCCTCTTTTCCCCTCACTTGGACCGACAGGCGCCTTGGGGGGTGCAGCGGATTGGCGCTGGGTGGCGCTGAGGTCGGGGAGCGAGACGCCGTGGTGGGCGTAAAAGTGCTGCGCGTGTCGCGACAGGCCCGTCCAGCGGCAGGCGGCCAGCTCCACGCAGAGCAGGAAGTCGGCACGCAGCGCGTGGCCGCAGTCGGGCGAGATGAGCCGCTCTCGGATCGAGTTGACCAGCTCGGCCACGCCCTCCGGGCTGCAGCGGCAAAGCTCCTCCCCCACACGGCACAGCTGTAAACAAGGCCGCCACGCCGGTGGAAGGCAGGCCACGATACAGGATCACCAGACACATGCCAATGGCGGAATGCACAACGTCATTGTCTACCGTGCCGAGACAGCTGATGTGATAATGTTATGGCTAATTTAATTTATTGAATATCTTGAAGTCAGATTCCAGCTGTGTACTTTGTTTGCTACACCGGAGGTCGGGTGATCGCAGCATCAGCACTTCAGATCAGGACTGTGGCCTGTGTATGCAATGAGCAAACTGTGGGACAAATTTGATCGATTTTAGACCTACTCCAGGCACTAAATCTTCAAATTTACCTGCTGATTTCATGAGATTTAGCGTCTAACCCGGCAGCTCGAGACGACAAAATTCTGCGCTCAACAGTGCTCTGCCTGCATAATGCACAGACCAGCGTCATGCATGCGCCATACGCATTTTGGACAAAGATTTAGGGACACATGTTCTATGTCAAGGTCCCATCACAGCTAGTTCAAGTTGAGGCATGTGCAAAAGTTTCTCAAAATTTCAGGGGAAAATAGAGTGGTCACCACGTCGGCTAGGTTTTGTAAGCACTGTTGCAACAACATATGAAGGACATTTCTTCGTGCATGGCTCTTTTTTGGTACACCATCATGCAGTCTCATAGAACGTCTGGGCCTCCGTCCCCACCACTGAGTGTGCCGAGGGTAATTCCACCAACTGATGCACCGCTCGTGTGATGAGCTTTGTGCAGAGCACAGCACGGCCAGCAGCATTATTTTTCTCAGGCATCATGACCGCACCTCGATATTACCACGATGGTTCCCTGCTGCGGTAGTGTTGTGTCGGAATGGCCGGCAATCAGTCTCAACTAGGGCGCAATCGTCCGGTGCCCCTCTAGTTCCGGCCCTTGACCATCTCAGGGATCATGACACATCATACAAACTAGTAGACGTTCTAAAATGCCTGATTGCACCAAAGGCTCAACGGTCTTGCTCATATGCGGCTTTCGATTATCAAAATAGGGTCTGATGACTCATTTCGTTAACAAAACTATACGGCGTTAATCAAACATCACTTGGCACGGGCAGAGTCGCAACGATTCCAAACGTCATCAACAGCATTCATCTCAAGCGGGCCCACTGACCTGAGCTGCGGCCATGACCTGATCCTCCTGACGGCAGTGCAGCAGCGCCGTCAGGTACTCCAGGATGGGCGTCACCAGCACCAGCACCACGGCGCCGTCCGCCAGCCGCACGTGCCGGAACACCTCGCAAAGGAGGCCGCCGGCGCCGGCGAACCGGGCCGGCGACATCAGCCGGTCGTCGTGTCGGCCTGCCGGCAGCCATGACTGGCGCCGTCAGCGTTCTGCGCCCGCCGACCGCCGGCCGCCCATCCCACCGGCTCCTCCGTGGCCGCACGAGCCACTTCTAGACGTGGAGGCTCGAGACCATTATGGAAGGGTGTGTACTTCAGGTGTTACAAAACGCTTACAGAAGCTCTCAGTGCCATGGACCTTCGAAAGTTAGATCCCATCTGACACAAGCACATAGCAGGCTTCTGACCATAGACAAGCTGTTTGGCTGGCGAAATTGCTAAGCACGTCGTCTTACTGACAACGGGTGTCAAACGTGACTGTATCTAATGACACTTGAACTGACACTTCCATGAGACACCGAACACGCATGCAGCATGATTCATGTTGAACAACTTCCGAATAAATGCCAAACAACAATTTTGAAGGACGTTACTGTCCCTGTTAACTGCCAGCGCAACCAGCCAACCATGCTGGGTTCGGCTGCAGTTACTACGAAGGACACGCGTACGATTGCATGCGGCCTGTCGCGTCACCGACCACCAACACCAACCCTGCACCCCCACCGCCGCCCACTCTCACGTTTGTAGTTACTCTGCACGAAGTTGAGCATATGGGTGCGCAGGTTACGCAGATGGGAGCCATCGGGCGCCTCCCGCTGCAGCCGGCCGGCCGCCGCCGCTAGCCGGGCGCCCACCGCCCGGCACGCCAGCGCCCGCTCGTGCAGTTCGCGCAGTGTGGCCCTGCCGCGCAAACACACCGCATTACGCTCAGACACGGGCGTACGCACGCCGAACACACACTGGCTGGGAGACAGCGATGCACATTTTGATATGCACCCGCACAGTGCAGATACAGGTCAGATTAATCAGCTCAATGATAGCTGTGAGTCGTTTGATTTCAGCTACAGAACAACTCGCCATTCTCACGCGGAATGCCCAAAAAAGAATAATTAAATGCCACATGCGTTACCATGTAAGGCAGAACCCTTCGATGCTCGAAACCAAATTTCTCGCATGTGAACAGCGGACCTTACAAAGCAGAGTTGTAGCACACAATGGGTGAGTACGTACAGTAGCTGGGCGTCGTTGGATGAGCTTTGCAGCATGGCAGCAATCTCTTCTTCAGATGGCTCCGCAGAGATCGATAGTTTTTGCACTTCTGACTCGACACTGTTTCCCGTTGTGATGCTCGCTTTAAAAAAAATGGAGCAGAAATACTATCATTGAATGGTTATTTCTCATAGTCATCTCATAATTGTCATCTAACTTATTAATTTGTAATACTGCACTCGACCAAGCAGATGGGCAGTCTAGCACCCCATTTCCGGGAGACAGTCGATTCACGTGGTCATAAAGTCACAATTATTCGACGCGCCGACGACGTGATGCGGCGTTACACGGAGGTTATGGCCGCGTGGCCCATGACCGCTAAACAGCTCAGACATATCGATTGCTATTCAACACTACACTGCTGGGATACTTGTATTGTGTCGCTAGTGGCGGAGCTGCAGGCGCTAACAGCATCGCCTGTTTGCGCAGTGGTGCGAGAGGGACAAGCTTGTGTTTTCTGTTGGAACCCACCTCTAAATCTGTGTCATGCATTCAAGACTACACCCTAAACATTTCTTTTGATTCAAACGATCCTCTCACCAGCAGCGTGTGAAAGAACACGGACGTAGCTCGATAAACAGCTCCCCCAATATAGCATTACTTCATGCACATGGAGGCCGGCAGAAAAATAAGTAAGGCCACAGGTCATCAAAAACTGACAATGGATAATATTTGAATTGCTATGAAAACACTGCCAAGCAAGTCTTGCAGATCTGCTGAGCCTCCTAGCAGCTTTACTTGTTCAAACATTGTATCATGCTGAGAACTTTCAACTGAAGTCCCCACAACTGGCAGCTGGTAGCACAACTGGTACTTGTGTCCATAACATGAAAGCACAATAGCCACCCACTTCAAGCCAGTGATTCAAGACAGGAATCAAACCGCTTGGTCACCAATACTGCACTGTGACATCACAGCCAATCAAAGTTGAAAACAAATGTTAATTGGCACAAAAAGCAACACTGTGAGTGATGCCAGAAGGTAAAACATAGCAGGTGAGTGTTATTTTCATGCACAGACCCATAGAATGGCTACAAAAATAAACAGTTAAGTGACATGCAACTAGTCCCAACAAAAGCAGCAACTGACCACCTCCTGGACTTCTGAGGCCTGCCCAGTCTTCAGGCATGTTTGCCAAGCCATCACCAGGCCTTCTCAGTGGGCGCCGGTCATCTGTGCCACCGGACAGGAAATCGCCACGTCCTCGGCCTCGCGCACGTCCACTCATTGGTAGGCACCCTGCCAGCCACAGCTACCATTCAGACAAGCACTCAGTCACTTAGACCAGGGAACAATTCCACAACCAGTACTACACAGCAACACCAGCCACTGTTGGATCAGCCAACAATATAGAGCGATGTCAAGCGGTGTAATAAATGATGGTGCAACTTAGCTGACTGAGCACCTTAGGCTCTCTGACATCACTTATTTTTCTAAAAAATAAACATGCAATCCTGAGCAAGACAAATGCAGCCTAAACAGACTGCTGAGACTTATTGTTACATTTATTCTCTCATTGTATTGATGTCTGAGAGGTTACTCAAGGTTCATGGTCATGCCTACTAGGCATAACTGTTCCAGACAATGTGAGATTAATATTTCATCTTGAAGTGAATAATCTTATTTTTTCATTCCTTCTCACAGCCAGTATTGAGCGGTGTTGGAAAACTTGATGTTTCCTGGCATGATGTATACCAAGAGGCTTTGTACTCCAGGATTGTGACTAGGTCAAATGAAACATTTTGTACTCCATGATGCAACAAGAACAGTTTTTGGAAAACTTGTTTTACCTCTTTGTGTCAGGACAAAATAAAACCAGAAGTTGCAACAGCTTTAGACTTGCTGCTTCCATCAGGAGCCATGTATTGATATCTGCAGCAGCACAAATCTTGCACCCACCGGACTAAGATGCCCAATAGCAAGCAGCCTGTGTTGCCACCTAAGTATTTGATCAACCATGTATGGAAATGTGAAAAATAAAGCGTGTGAATGCTGAATGGAACTGCCTTTGAACAATACCGGGAAATGAGAAACGAGTACAAGAATTGTACCGGTCTGTAGATTAGCGAAGCTCTCACTTCCTATGCCCCACGCAGACCAACGCAAACTTGAACATTACTTAACCTTCCAATGGCGACGAAGCGCATTAATTGCCAAGGATGCAACGAATATTCATAGAAAACCGCGCGCGCAGTCACCTACCGCAGGCTCAGGCAGGCAGGTCTTGAGCGTCTTAATTGGAGCTTTACGACGCACTCAGCTGCTGAGGCTATATGGCGTCGCCTGCCTCTCACCCTGGCAGGAAGGGCGGGCACCGCGGGGAATCGAACCCCGTACCTCTGGTTTCCCAGACGCGCAGTGGTTAACGCAGACGTGTTAACCACTTTGAGCCCAAGCGTCAGTCATCGTTGCGTAGTCGTAGAAGTTTGGTAGCGCAGTTGGCAGTTAAGCTCGACCGAGGATAGAAGGAATGTTTGGCATTGGTCAGGAGTTTTCTGTAGGACAAGGGTGTAGCAGGGAGGTGAAATAATCGGTGTTATTTTCCAGAAAACTCGATGTTAAATGTTTAGATCTATAAAATGATTAGTGAACTAAAACAAGAGAACAAAAAGTCCGGATTGTTTTGCCAGGCTCTTTTCATCCTTTTCTTTTAACCACAGCTTCGCCGCATGATGGCATTTCAGGTCAGAGTTATTAGGCAGTCGGTAGTCACAAAAATTACGGTTTAACAAAGCATTTACTAGATAAGAAATTCACACATCTGTCATGCCGCTTTCTTTAACGCATCCACGCACATTCCATTTTGTCTTCTCCATGCTCATTCATACCTCAGTTATGTACTCCCTTCTGCTTACGCACACGCCCACATATCACACATATACACACATATGCTACACATAGTTCCTATACCACTTCATTGCTTCTCACACTTCTCAAGCATTCATTCAGACATGGTATAAAGATGTCCCCGTAAATTTAAATTATACGTATAATTAACAACTCACTCCAAACAAATAAAACATAGTATAAGCAGAATGGCAACAGTCGATGACAGCAGATCAAAAATTGCGCATGTCCAGTACGCGAAGGCAGCACTTCACAATCGTTTCAGTAGATCGCAGTGTCGCAAATATTTCAGCACTTCATCAATGATGTTTGGGAATTAATTTCCTATCAGAGACCTCACACAGAATTGTGCTCCTGACCGTTGACATAATGTTACCAACGATCGTCTTTCGTGAGAATATGCGGGACATTCCAGAAGGATGTGATGTACTGTTAGCAGACATTGACAACGTTCACATTCGGGCTGGGGTTTTCTGTCTATCCCATATGAGTGGGTATAACGAGTATGCCCAAGTATCAGCCTGCACAGCACTATCTCTTCATGTCTGATTGCTCTACAAGAAACCCAGCCTCTTACCTCTTCTTTGATGCGTTTTAAAGTAGTACTAATCTTGTATTCTGTCCACTATATGTTGAACAATTCACGAACACTTTGACGTCCTTCAGGGACATTTTTTAGGACCCATTTGAAAATTACACACGCCAATCAATGTTATAGCCATCTTTGCTTGCGCATCCGTTGTCTCTTTGCCACGCATATTGCAATAACTTGGGATCCAGACGACGATGATTGTGCTGCCCATTTCAGTAACCTGATGGACCATCTCAAGCAAGTGGATCACCATTGGGTCTTCAGATATCGGGTTTCCCAAGGCTGTTACAACGGACAAAGAGTCTGTGCATATGACACATCTGAGGATGCGATTGGTATGCGTGTAATCCAGAGCCTGTAATAATGCAAATGCTTCGGCTATAAATACCGAACATAGTCCAGGAAGCTTAAATTGTTGACGTCTGTCACCGTGGACAAAAGCACATCCAACTCGGTCTGCATTCTTTGCTCGTCGGTAAATAGAAACTCGTATTCTGCATATATGCTTCTCAAATCATTAAACTCCCATTTAATTTGCTCTTCATCTAGTGTTCCCTTGCTCCAATTAGTCAACTTTATCAACGTACATTTACGCAATTTCCATGGCGGAACAACGCTGCGTTTTAAGGTCGCTTCATCTGGGATATCGAATCCTGTCTCATGGCACACATCGAGTATTTTCTCATGTAGTGGAAAACCAGAAATCCTTTTCATATATCCGGTCTCTACCGCATGTAACGTAGCCTCGCTAGCCATAAGTTTTCTGCATGGATGATTCTCTTTACTTAATATCTTCAGGGAGTAACGGAAAGACAAATCGCATCTCCTCAGTCTCAGGGGAAGAATATCTGCTTCGACCAGCAATGGTAAAACGGGCGTAGTTCTAAAGGTTCCAGTAGCAATTATAATGCATTCAGTTTGTTGGCATAAATCGTTTCCACTGCCTTGTTACGGTTACCATCAAACACCTGCCATGCGTACCCCAATATCGGCCTTATCATAGCTTTGTATATTCTCAATAGTGTAGAACGATCTGCGCCGCAGCCTTTTCCAGGTAGACACTTTAATATTCATATCCTTTTGACAGCTTTTGTTTTAATGTACCACATCATCGTGTTAAGTTCAGCCTAGAGTCCAGCATCACTCCCAAAAACTTGACAGTGTCGGTGCATGTTACCGGTTGGTTATATATATATATATATATATATATATATACATAGAGAGAGAGAGAGAGAGAGAGAGAGAGAGAGAGAGAGAGAGAGAGAGAGAGAGAGAGAGAGAGAGAGAGAGAGAGAGAGAGAAGAGAGATAGAGAGAGAGAGAGAAGAGAGAGATAGAGAGAGAGAGAGAGAGGAGAGAAGGAGAGAGAGAGGAGAGAGAGAGAAGAGAGAGAGAGAGAGAGAGAGAGAGAGAGAGAGGGAGAGAAGAGAGAGAGAGAGAGAGAGAGAAGAGAGATAGAGAGAGAGAGAGAGAGAGAGGAGAGAGAGAGAGAGAGAGAGAGAGAGAGAGAGGAGAGAGAGAGAGAGGAGAGGCGAAAGAGAGAGAGAGAGAGAGAGAGGAGAGAGAGAGGAGAGAGAGAGAGAGAGAGAGAGAGAGGAGGAGAGAGAGAGAGAGAGAGAGATATATCATATATATATATATCTATATATCTATATATATATATATATTATATCTATATATATTTTATATATATATATATATATATATATATATATTATATATAATATATATATATATATATATATATATATGCATATATGTAGGCTAGGTATGTTTGTCATCTCTCTTGTCTTCATATACCTTTGAAATACAATTGAGATGCATTTGTGAGGTGAGAAAATGAAACTCCCCACCGATCAGCCCATGAGCTCACATGGTTCAACGCTCCCTGCATTTTATTAACTAGATGAAAAATTATCCTTCCCTGCACTCATAGCGAGCAATCGTCAGCGTACAGCACTACACCCGGGACATTTCCACACACGTCGTCAATCATGATGTTGCACAGTATGGGGATATAACCCCTCCTTGGACTAAGCCGTTTTCCTGTTCAAACGTACCCGATAATATTCCATTCCGCACCTGGAAGGTTCTGTTGTCAAGGTACGATCTAACGAAATACATAAGGCCTCCTCTAAAACTCATATTATACATTTTTTGTAAGGAAAGCAATTTTAGACGTGAGATCATATGCATTTTAAGGCCCAAAAAACAGCCAAGGTATATTTGCTGTAAAACACATTTTCTAATCTCGGACTCCACCCTGACTGCATGGTCTGTGGTATTTCTTCCATTCCTAATGCACATTGATATTAATACAACATATTGTTCCGTTCAAGAAACCAGGCTGACCGTCTGGCGATCATTCGCTCAATTATCTTGCTAAAACATGAAGTTAGCTGAATTGGTCTATATGACTCGGGGTTTCCTCTAGGTTTCCCTAGTCTAAAAATAGGAAAAATAATCGAGTGTCTCCATTCATCAGGAATATCACCACCACACCATATGCAGTTAATCATATCCAAAATTGAATGCAATTGTTCATCACGTAAGTATCTAAAAAAACGCGTAATGTATTTCATCCGGTCCAATCGATGTATTGCCACATTTAGCAATAGACATTTGTAGCTCAGTCAACGTGAAAACATCGTTATAAACCTCATCATTGTCAGAAATAAATGGCGGCATTTGATCCACCATCTCCCTTTCCAGCTCTCTCAAAGTGGCTCGGTAGTTCCGAGAGGACGACATGTCAGAAAACAACCGTCCGAAGATATTTCCAACGTCAGTTGGGTCAATTATATTACCAGCCACCTTCAGAACAGGTAAGGATCTCGCAAATCGCTCCTTCCTTGTAAATTTCCTAATGATGTCCCATAAGTGTTGCATCGTCGTGTTCATATTAAACATATACAATAGTTTTTCACACGGATCTTTTTTGCCGCACGAATTATCCTTCTGGCTTTCGCCTTCGCCTCCTTATAAGCCACTAAATGCAGATGTATGATAATCATATGTAATATAAACTGGGAGATGATCACTGGAGTGTAAGTCAGTGTCCGTTTGCCAATGCATGAATTGTCCCACACTGCTTGACGTCACAGTCAGGTCGATATGTGACCATAATCCTGTGTGCTCGTCCATTCTGGTTGGGGAACCATCGTTCATCACTTTTAAGGTATGTTGCTGTATTATCTTTTCCCACACCTTTCTTTCCACGAGAATCGCATCGGTCCGAGCCCCATAAGAAATGCCGACTATTCGTGCAGGTGCTTATGATAAACGGCTGTGGTAGCTGTGTAACCAAGTCGTTCACGTCAAGGTGAGTCAAATTTTTGTTTAGTGGTAAGTATAAAAAACAAACACAAATGTGAGAAAGGCCATTGTCACCGAACATGCCACCGCCTTAAAATTAGTATTCAGTGTGACATGAAAATGAGATAGGTCGTTGTTAACGTAGATTAGTGCTCCGCCTTGTCTACTATGTGCGTCAGAATAAGCGTTGTAAAGAGAATATTTGTGAATTCTGAAATCACAATGGTCAGTAGGAAGAAAGTGTATCTCTTGGAGACAAACGACACTATGCGGTGTTGCCAGCAGCAGTGGTTTTATCTCCGCCCACTTTGAGATTAGACCCCTACAGTTCCACTGCATAATACTGAAAGTAATTTTGTTGTTGTCTCAGACTGCAGACTCCGTCCAGTCAAGCACACACGCCGGCAACAGCTCGACATTTGTTAACCTTCTTAACTCGAACATCAGAGAAATCCCGTGAGTAGCCTGCACCGCGTACCATGTCCCCACACACAAACACACAACCAATGCACAGCCCGAGCGCCGAAATCCAACAAAAGACCGCCACCGAAAACAGGAAAAGATCAAATAAATTGATTAATGTATAAGCCAAACATCGGTACGTTCTACTTGTCCTGTAACCGCGAACAAAACATCTCAGTACACACA